GATCTTGTGTGTGTGATGGTCCATGAGGCCGTGAAGCGTCTACGCCGACATTATTCGCGGCTTTTACAACAAAAATATTGAATCGGACTAATTTGAGCTTACTAATGATGTCTGCTGAGAGTTGGACTGGCTGGTGGGTTCACAATCATCACAATAGATGATTGACTGTTGAGTTATTCCATTGCTGAGGAATATTCTGGAGAGTTCCCTGAATTTTTATTAGAGAGTTCGACTACGTGAGCTCTTTGCGGGTATACACGTATCTAGTTGACTGTTAAACCGAGTTTTCTATGGGTGGGCATCGTCCGATGATGCCTAGGAGTCGTCCCCACGTATCCTAAGTACGGACACAGAGTAATACTGGCAGTAACCGAGGAATACTGACGACTACTGATTGAACAGAACTGTTTTACCCAAAAAACTCTGCATTCTAGAATCTTTTAGGTCCTTAGGAAAGGATATCTACGCATAGGATGAGTTGACAGAAGAGACATTGATTCAGTTGCGTATTTAGTGGAAAGAAAAATGCTCTTATATTAACCGTTTTCAGTAGTAATGTAAAATTGTCTTCAAGGTCCTGGTCTATTACGGTAACAACGGCAAGAGAGTTTGGACTTTACAAGTTGTAAAGTTTCTGCAAATTCGATTTTTCAGTTCATTAAGGTGGGACCATTAGGCCCAGGATTTGAGAGCTGAATGTATCAATCATCAACTATTTGACTTTGACATGGGCGGGTGCTGACATTCCGACGTTGATCAAATTATACAAAAGTCTGGTTAGGTCTTGCATTGAATATGGACCTTTCTTCTTTATTTCACTGAAAAAATTGCTTTGAACTCTTTTAGATGGGATTCAGTATAAGACTTTGAGATTTGCTATGAATTATAGAAACTTGACTCAACTCAATGTTATTGTGGTAGAAATCAGAATTTTTTCTTTGAATATTAGATTAAAATTTTTGACTCGGAATTTTTTGACGAGGGATAAAAATTATAGAGGACAAAATGAAAAGATTTCAGGGAAGTGAAAGATGTTTTTAGCTGCTATTTTGGGATAGATGTTGGGATGTTGCAGTTATGTTCACAGATGGCTCAAGAATAACAGGAAAAGAATTTGTTGGATTTGCTTGTCTGGTAACCTCTAATGAGAGTTTGAGTCTCAATGGAACTGTCAGGTATGCATCAATCTTTTCTATTAAAACTATTACGAACATAGCAGCTCTGGAAAAATTAGTCATTTTTTCGGACTCTTTAAGAGTGTTGAAGGCACTAGTTTTTAATAGATCGATTGGTAAAATAAATACATTAGCTGGGAAAATGAAGAATTTACTGTAATCGATTCAGGCTCCTGGAAAGAAGGTTTTTTCATTTTGGATCCCTAATCATGTGGGTGTCTTTTCTAATGAAAAGGTGAATACATCCACTAAAGATAGTGTAATGAGAGGTCGAGATTTTCAGCCTCCGATTTTGAAGGCCTTCTGGAAGGAGAAAATGTTTCAAGAATTTTTCAAATGGTGTAAATCTGTAGGGAAGATTTAAGGGAGGGACTATTTTAGAAGGTATTTCACAAAGAGCGCACTTGCATGGCTCAGTAAATTTAACCTAGCAAGGAAACCTCTGATTTCTATTGATAAATTAAGAAGCAATTATAATAGTTTAAGAAATCGCCTGACTGAAATGTTTATTATTAACTCTCCTGTATGTGAGTGTGAAGAGAGTGATTACACAGCAAACTAGGTTTTTAGCAAGTGCAATCTTTATGAAGATGTACGTAAATTATTTATTAAAGACTTCATAGGGGGAAAGTGTCTTCTTTCATACTGAGAAACTTGGACTTTCAATTACAAATATTTTGCTTATTCTTTAACCAATCGTCCTTATCTCATTTCATTCGCTGTTGCGCGAATCTTTTCTTATAGGTATTTTTTTATTTTATCTATTTATTTGCTTAAAATGAGTGCGCAAAGGTCTATATACTTTTATATATCTATATTTTCCTGCTCGAGGTGCTTTAAATTATTTTAAGTAAAGGAAAGAAAAAAAAAATTTTTTTATTTGTGATAAAGATTATATTCATTTTGGTTCAACAAAACAACTAAATATTTTCTTGATTTAATTGAATTTTATTCCCTACATCATCTCTTTAAACTACCTCATTGCCAACATTTAACTGCCCATTACATAATTTTAATTGTTCTATACTAGTCATTTTTTCTCGTCTGAGCCTAAATTGAATTTTTTTTAGCGCTCTATCACCCGAGATAAGATAGTTTTTTGATTATTAGTATTTATTATTCATTGACATTTTTTTATTCTCAAAACAAAACATCGTTCGCAATTAACATTCTGTAATTCATATATTCATGATGATTAATAATCATTAAAATATTTTTATTCCATTTGAATAAATCTTGTTTTAATGGATATTTAAAATAAAATACTATTTAATATTTATTAATAGTTTATAATTAGATCAATTTTTAAGCAGCACGTTTGATTCTCTCAGCATTGTATTAAAAGATAAACTGAAAAGCTTTTTTGCCTTGGGTGAATTGTAATTTTTTCTGGTTTTTTTAATTAATTAAAATTTCATTGACTTTATTGGTGATTTTTCACTGATTAACAGTGATATATTAACAACTTAAGCCATCGATTAATTTTTACTAATAAACTTTCAGAGAGTAGGTTCATCAAAATAAAAAGACAAAAATACTGATTATTCGTTGAATAAATAATAAGTCAAACGCAAAAACATGTCTATAGAAACTATTATTAATTCCCCGGTAAAAAATTGACTAAAAAAGATTGGGATTCATAATTTTGAATATTAATATATCCATAAATATTACCACTTTTGGAAGTCTTCTAAATCCGCTATCATTGTTTTTCGGAACCTTTATCTCACTAGGATATGTATAAATACATGTGTATGTGTATAAGTATGAAAGTAAGCACATTTTTTCTGAACAGTTATTTTAAAGTTTAGTCTAATTACATTCTTTTATAAGAAAATACAATAAGTCGATAAGTAAGATTTGATTTACACTTAGAAAACAGGTCAAAAGCAAGTTAAAACTAATAGTTCATTACGCATTGAATTTTCTCCTAAATCAGTTAGTAACGCCGCCGAGGTTGTCTAGATTGAGACAACAAGAAATGTTTCGTGGAGTTTCAGTTTTTCTAATAAGTTGTCTTAAACATTTACCTAGACTCTCAGTTTTTGTCTCTCCAAATCTTAGTTTAATGTATTTTTAGACAATTTGATGAAATTCTTTTCCAGTGATCAATATTCTTGGATAGCCGTTTATCGTATTACAAATGACTACTATCAATTGGTCTCCAGCATCTTTAACGTGCAGACAACTAAAATTGCCGATAATGCCATGTTTATCAAGATTATATTCATTGTGTATACATTGAATTTACCTTCGTACATAGACTCGATCTTCCGCTTCATTGAAAAATTTCATGATCTCTTCCCAACTTAACACTTCAGCTTTCTTCCTATTGTACCTTTTTGCTTTATTTTTAATAAACGTTTTTCATCTTTGATAAGTATTCATATTTCTATTGTAATTGAATTGTAAGACATGATAGACTGTATGTTTCATAACGAACTTGATTCCAGTTTATTCAAAAAATCATTAAAGTAGATAAGAAATGTATTTTCATCGTACGAGGTAAAATTTTTTTTTTATATCCTACAGGCTATTAGGTGCTTACTTGTCATGCTTGTTGAGCGTAGCTTAAGTGGCCGATGATAAACCGGTGATATAAACGTAATTTCAATGAAATTATAAACAAAGACTTATCAGAAGCTCTTCTCACTGTTCCTGTAATCGGTTTTAAATCTCCTTTCTACAGCCATGATAATTACACATATATTAAGCACAATTTTATTAGTTACATCAGCACAATTTTTCGTTTTGTTCCCTCTGGGATTAATCGGAAATGAATGTATTTCTCATAAATTGAGATTTGCTATTAAAATTAGGCTTAAAGTCGATTTTGTAATCCCCTTAAGAAATAAAATCTGTTTTCAACTTAGTAGCTTTGATAGAAAAAATTCATTTTATCAAAGTTCACCAAAACCAAATTTGAATCGTCTAAATCAGATCACTTATTTTTTAAAAATGGTTCAGCGAATATTCACTATTTCTAGTTGTAATTTGTAATAATTGCATTTTAAAGAGTTACGTCCGAAATAAGTTCAAAGTTTTTAAATCAGGTCTTATCTTTTGACTAATCATGTTTTTCTGTAAAAAAATAATTGCAGAATATGTATTATAAAAATTGCCATTGATTTTAACAATAATTATAAAATTACTATATTGCATAGTAATTTTTCCTGTAATTCCGAAGCATTATTCAATTACCACAATTGCTGGTAATTTTTACAATGCATTTCTTTTCGTATAGTTTGTTATAGTTATCAACTGGGAAATTAATAATACAAATTGTAATACAAAATGTACAAATTGTCACGGTCACATGTCAATGATACATGTTGAAACAATAAAAAAAATCACTTACATAACAATTTTTGAAAATTTTATCGAAATTAATAGACTTTTTTATTTTCAAATTTAACAACCCAATGCAGTTGAATGACTAGGTAAAGAAGTAAAGAAAAAATTTTTTGTCGAAAAGTTCGTTCTGCCTTAGTAGATATATAAGGATATAAAAGATCTAAAATTTATGTAGAAATGTTTTATTTAGCGTGGAAACTTCCATTCAATCTTCTGGGAGTCACGTCCATTTAATACATCACAAATAGTGTAGATAGTTTATTCGCTTCTTTTTAAATATATTTTTATTGTTATTTTTTATAATTCTTTTATAGACTTTTCTTAGTTTTTTATCGAAAAAAATAGAATAGTATTTTAGATAACTAAAAATTTGATGAATAATTTAGACATTTGATTATTGTCAGTTACTTTTCATAGTCGAATTTTTAATTTGATTTTATTAACTAGACAATAATAATGATAATAATGAAGCAGGTCGTCGGCAGCAACATTGGGCCGTCAAGATGCTGTTGAATCATATCCAGATGACGACATAATAAGTCCTCCTACTTCGAAACGTAGCTCCATGAGGCCAAGTGGTACTGCACTCTCATTAAATATTCTTCAGCGAGATATAAAAGAAGCTATCACTCGAAGGTGCGGTAGTTTACGAGGGAAAAAATCTACACTTCCAGAACCAGCACCTCTGGAAATTCCGGAGCGTACTGATGTCAGTATTCTAGTTACTGAGCCCAGTCCTGAAAATACTGTTCCTCCAGGGAGACCACCATTACTTAGACAACAATCAGAAGCTACAGTAGTTCACGTTCTTGTTCATCGTGAAAGTGAAGAGTATCAAGAAGAACCTGATAACAGCTGATATTAATGTTATAATAATAAGCTACGATAAATTATTTTTTGCCTTAAACATTTTTAAAATACACATTATATTATTTGTCAATAGACGAATATAAGACGTTTGTAAGTCTTCCGCTAATTGAGAACAGAATTGTAAATTTTTTTAATCATGCCTTCTTCAAATATTCTCCAATCTTTCCTTTACCTTATTAATAAATAAATCACACCGAAAATTCGGTAGTAGAAGCCTGAATATGTACTGCCTCGTATTTTAGAAATCAAGCACATGAATCTGTCCTAATAAAACAAATAAAACATGTCTCATCGAATTGATTCGTAAATTATATACTTATATGAATATATAAATTTTACGAGAGTATTATTTGGGGATACGAAGGTACTATTTGGATTACTAGTTTTAGACTGAATGTATTTTTTGAGAACACAATTTTGCCACTTTGTTTTTTTGCAAAATAAATATTTGATTTTTCATAACTAAAAATCATCACAGCGGTGCATTATATTGCACACATGTATTTTCAAGGTTTGTTTTTATGGAACCAAAGGTTGAACGGGTACTTTAAAATTGAAAGGAAGAATTCAAATCCTCTGTCCCCATATAATACTATAGGTAAATTAATATGTATATTGTAAAGGAGATTATCAAATTTATAGTATTTTTTATTATTAATAAGCAAGTAAAAGGGAGACTCATTTTAATTACAACAATAATTATTATTAGATATACAAAAAAAAACAACAACAATCGATTGCGATTGATGTTAGTTTAAAAAAATTAAAATTAGAATGCGATTTTTAAATGAATGTACTGTTAAATTTGCAATTAATTAATATTTTAATGATAACGTCATTTAATTAAGAAACAACGAAATTTTTCATATTAATTATCATTTTATTTAGTCATTTTATTTATCGTTTAAAAAATGAATTAATAAATGAATAAATTTTATTAGTCAGATGTATTTATTATAGACTGAAATATTTATTAATAAATGAATGAATGAATAAAATATTTCAGAATGTATTAATTGATTTTCAACTTTCAATTTAAATATATTATTATCAACTTTTCTCTTCTATTCTAACGTCAAAAGTTATTTAAAGTATTAACAAGTAATCTTTGAATTCTTAATTAATTGCAGTGGATGTATCATAAAATACGAGTCAATTAATGAATATCTATAAAAGAGAAATAAACATTTATATATCCAGAGATAAACTGTTATAAATAACTGAGTTGAATAATGTTATTCTCAAAAATATAATATAAAGTAAAATAAACTAACAATAAGTATAAAATAGAGAAACTGTACAATCATGCGAGGGTACTTTTTGCATAATGCATATTAGTTAATGTAGATTTTAAAAGTAATTAATAAATAAATTATAATGAATAATAATAATACCATGAACTCTTTATGGTCATTGTTTAATTTAATTACGAATGCGTGTAGAAAATAACCAAAATCATTATATGTTTAAAATTACATAATTCATTTTTGCTGTAAATAGAATTTTGACGACATTTGATCATTGAAAAAAAATAACTATTGTGCTAAAATTACTATTTAGACAATAGTTTATTTTCATTATGTGGAGGATCCAATCATTTTACCGAACATGAGAATAAAATGAATTGAAAAGTGTATGTTTATTATTAATCAACAATCTATAATTCAATTTTTCTTTCTGAGCATTCATCTTACTTATTTATTATTTATAAACAGAAAAATCATTTGTATATTCTGCGAAGATAGATAAAGTTATTAGCTGGATTATTAAAAAAATGGCTTCAATTTTATACGTGATATTTTCTTGTATATAAAATAAAAACACTAACTCAGGCTGACAATGCACGATGTCATAAATATGAATGAGCTTGAATGAATAATAAGTATGTACCGACAAAATATAAAAAAATATTTGTTAATAAATTTGTAAAATTTACGTGCTATTCTTTATAAGTTTGATCATCACAGTCACAATAAATCCAATGATTAATATTCATTTATGATCCGTAAGTTCTGAATAAGTTAATGGTGTTAAGCTTCTAAAGTCGTCATCAATATCCGTATGTTATAACAAAAGAAAAATCAAATGTGATACAAAATAAAAAATAAAATAGTAAGATTTACCATCAAAAACGTTCGTTTAGAGTAGGCTTCTGTTTCTCTGACAAAACAAAATTGTGTTTTTAGTAAAGTATATCAACGGAATAATATTGGATAAAATATCTTTATTTCAATCAACAAGTTTGTAAACAATAAATAAAAAAAATAACGTCGTATATTGTTTAATTATATTGAGTTAAATAGTTTCTATCATACAGATCAGAATTATATAGTATCATTATTATTAAATACATCTTTTATTGTTATATAATGGAAAAAATCACATCATAAAATGAGAAATTTTAAGATTACTAAATTTACAACACTATACTGTAAACTTATTCGTATTCCGTAACTACAGAGTTTTGTCTATTATTTTGACGAAAAACTGTTTTAAAATGTTACTAATAATCCGAATAGTTAGTTTTTTTATTCGGATAATGAATTCGTTTACATTTATTTTAAATTCTCAGTAGAAGAAAATTGAAATTTGACATCAATTTGCGCTTTAAATGTATGTATTACAACATATTGAGCTCAAATTGATGTCAAATTTCAACTCTTATCTATCGGAGATATTACATGTAGCTATAAATTGTTGCTAGATTGTAATCAAATGTTACCAAAATCATCAAAAGAAAAAAGAATTGTGCTATTAGACAATGTATATTAAATGCAATCAACAAGATATACATCGTTTGTGAATCGAGGGAATAACCTATGGAAATATTTTATAAGTGACAATTTCGAGCTTTTAATCGAGCTAAATAGATAAAAAATGTCAATTAGTCTTGGAATAGAAATTTAAATAAATTCGCTTTGTTTTTTGACACATTCTAAATTGCACTTAGGTGGGAAATTCCCTTGATAACAAAAAATCGTCATTGACAATATTAATTGCTCGAAATATAAAATATAATCATAATATTAAGACCAATGTAGTTGACAATTTGAAATTAAATAATGAAACCTCATGTTTAAAAATATAACTGATTCATAGGTTGAAAAATGTAATAAAGTATCTATATAAGTATTAAATTTGTGTTACCATCCATTACATCGCGATATACAATCAATGGCCTATGTAAAATGGTAGAAAAATGGCGTTAAATGATGTTTTCAATGAAATAATCAAATGTTGCACTCGATAATTCTTTGAAGTGCTTGTATGATTATGTTGTTAATTTTAAGCAATGCAAAAAAATCATAATATTTATAGGAATGGAAATAAAATCAATTAAAACTTTTATTCCAACTGTATCCAAATAGAAATCACATTCTATATATTCAGAAAATATAATTAGCGATAATTAGCAATAAAAATATAATAGGATTACGTTGATATACAGATCAAGTAAAGAAACTATGAAATGATTAAAATATACTTGTCAAGAAACAATTTAAATTACGTACATGTAATCGTAAGTTTTTTTTTTATTTCAGCACGATTTAGATTGTCTGAATTTATGAGCGAATGTATCTAATACCTATATTATTTGAATGAAAATATACATGGAAATTTAGATAAAACCCGATAGTTAGAGATAAAAAGATATATATTAATAAATTACACAAATATGAAAGCACTGAAATAATAAAAATTTTCAAGCGTTAAAAACCGACAACCATTAGTTTCATCAGCAATAAAGTTTATTATAAATATTACAGAATTTTCATATGAAAAGTGGTTTACAGTCGAACATAGTGTACACTAGTGAGCCTGTTATCTTTTGAAGAACATTAATATAATACATAGAAATGAATTTAACTAAGTTTCAAATAAAAATCGTTTGTAAGTGAGTATTGTAATATTTGAAAATTAAACCTTAATTTCATTATAATTATAGCAAAATTATATTTACCAATTTGTCTGTGATTCGCGTAATAATAAACTCAAATTTTGACTGCATTCAATAGTATTTTTTGAAGTAGTCACATAAATAAAATGTTAGTCTAATGTGATCTATTTTTAATTAATTATATTAAAATTTTATCATGAAAATGGATATTTCAATTCTAAAAAAATACAATAAGTTTTTTTGTAACGTTCAATGAGAAATATACATGCACAGGGTAACACGAAAATACTTTTCGTCATACCCGCGCGGAAAGTTCACTTTTCCATAGTAGAGGGGTTAAACTTTTTACACAGGTATGACGAAAAATCATATTCAGCCCTAGGGAAGACAATCAGACTAGCTTAAACCACGCGTTCACTCGCCTTCGGCTCGGGTTGTAATTTTACGCATGGTTTAAACTAGTCAACTTTGCCTCCCTAGGTGTGAAATGTACTATTATTTACGTAAGAATCATTTTAAATTTTTTATGCGTTACACAAAAAACCGGTTTTAAAATTTTTGGTAATTATATATTTTCCGACCCCGCTTGCCCTACCCCGTCTACAGTTTCATACAGGCATGCTCTTCGGAAAATAGTATATTTCACACCTAGGGAGGAAAAGTAGACTAGCTCAAACCACGTGTAAAATTACAACCCGAGCCGAAGGCGAGGGGGGTAAACACGTGGTTTAAGCTTATCTAATTGTCCTCCTTAGGGCTGAATATAATTTTTCGTCATACCTGAGTGGAAAGTTCAACCCCTCTCCAATGGAAAAGTGAACTTTCCGCGCAGGCATGACGAAAAAGTAATTTTTTTCTTGCGACCAGGACTTGAACCTGGATCCACCAAGTTTGCACGTAAGGTGCCTTACCACTTAAGCTATCGCAATACTTTTAAGGCTGGGCTGAAGTCAGAAAGTTTCCCGGAGTTGACTTTACGCCCTTGCGTTGTGCGGCAAAAGGCCGAAGCTTGACATCAATTGAAATTGAGTAGGTAACAATGAAATCGTTCGAAAAATGGTAATTTTCAGGGATACACTACAAAAAGGGAGCCTTAGGGCACCAAGAAATTTACAAATTTCTGAATAATCTGTTCCGAGCAAGACAGAGCACAAAATATATCTATCTATCTCCGTCTTATTTTTCAGAGAAGACTGCGAGTTCGAACAGTTGACGAGCAAGCACATTCTCCACCCTCTGTTACTAAGCCTGAAGCTTACGATATCTAAACGTAAACAAAGCAAATAAAAATATGCTAGCTCTATAGTCAGAAGGTTCGACAGTTATTTTACCGAACGGTGTTCGATTCCAATTGCGGCAAAATTTTTTTTTTATTTAAATTGCATGTAATTGCAGTTTTATCATTCCAAAAATGAGTTTTAAATTTCAATTTTTATGTAAAATTATTTTTCAATTAATCGATGACAAATGAGGAAATATTTGAACAGAGCTATAAACTTTTTTTTTGTACAAATACATTGATAATAGCGTTTTTTAAAAACTTATTAACAATAAAAAATAGTTTAAACAATCCGCGGCGAGTTCCGGCCCTTCGCGGGCAAGCTTTACCTCCACTTTCTGTGCCCAAGCCTGCAGCTTATAATTTTCAAGCATCATTATTATTATTGGAGTCATAATAGCTCAGTGGTTAGAGCACCAATCTTTTTTTTTGCTGGGCAGGGTTCGATCCCAGTCATAAGCAATTTTTTTTTCTTTTTTTTTGCTTAAGTGACTTTATATACTTATAAATTAATTCATATATTT